TGCCCCCCAGTGATTTCCCCCCCCCCCCCAAATATCTTTAAGGAAAGGAGGAGGCATAGAAGCAGTAAATAGTATATATAATGTGTGTGTGTTCACTTATTGTCCAGTGCAGAGATGTGTGCTTACTTTCTTGTCACATGCCAATGAGTATCAGAAAGGTAACGAACCAAAACATGGGTGAGATCACTGCTCCTGTTCCAATCTCTTCAAGCTGTGTGTTGTCTAGTCATACCAGACTCTTCTCTGGCCTCTTGTCTTGTTAAAGGTCAGGAAGATGCAAAGCCACATTAATTTTGCTCTCTTCCTGGTTTTGAGTTCTGTCCTATGCCTTATAGAGGCACAGTATAGAACAGTAACCTAGATGAATTAATGTGTGGTAATGTAATGCAGTAATACTATTGTTCCCCTGAATTATTTGGTCAGACTTTTTTCTTTTCTTCCCTTCAAGCCCAGAATGTACCAATATAATTTGTTTTTCTAATTAAACTATAGATCCTGGAGTATGGGATTTAAGGATACAGCTTCTGAATCAGAACTTCCTATATCTTAAATTTTGGAGGTTGCAAGTGAGAGAGGAACAGTGGGGGCAGAAGAAAGCCCAGGTCATACCCAGTTCACTCTCCCTTTCAGCATCCCCCTCTGCCCCAGTAAATGGCAATCCTTATGTTTTTATTATGTTCTTAATATAGTGACTCTTGACAATAGAAATTGTGATTGCTTTGGATTATGAAGAATTACTTCTTAATTTCAGATTTCCTGTTTTTCTGGGGTGCCATCTTCTTAATAACTACTACGTTAGTTGCCCTTTTGAAAAAGGAAAACAAGGAAGTAACGCCATCAAAAGAAGAAACGAAAGGCATCACTGATACATATAAACTGCTTTTTTCAATAGTCAGAATGCCAGCAGTTTTCACTTTCTGCATCCTGATTCTGACAGCAAAAGTGAGTATATAGTACCTGGCAATATATAGGCCATGTTTATTAACTATTCCTTCTTATGGCAACAGGGGGATTGTTTTTTACTGGTTGTCAGCAAACTTGCAGTGTATAATCTAAAATCTGCCTAATTGCACATGGTGTTGTTTTTAAGCAGGTTGTAAAACAAATCACTTGCGTCTTTAACCTGTTCATGTTTTGTGATGAACTAGATATGCTTAAATATTCATGCAAATTTTGGAAGAAATTTGGGTTTTAATCCTTCATTTTAAAAAGTTTTTAGTAGAAACAGTGCACCTGTATAGCTAGCTCTTTGTCTCCTCAAATTCTACAACCTGATTTGCAGTTTGAAAACCGCTAAGGGATTAGCAGGGGCTTTGAAATTCTGTCAAACCAAGTTTGCTTTCTGTGATGGACAGAATTATGCTAAGCAGGTTGCCATAGTTTTATACTGATTGCTGAGATGACAGCAAACACTGCTGAAAATCTGGGCCTAAAAATAACAAAAATTGCCATTACTTCTGGCACTTTCATTATGCTCTGTGTACTGCAGATGTGTATTGTGTAGCATAGGAGCTGTCCCATGAAATGCAGAGCAGGACTTGGTGTATATTTACAACTAAAAAAATGAAATGGAAGCAAATTGTAATTAGTTTTACTGGAGTAGTTTGCTAATAGATACCTGGATATGCTTAATGTTTATTTTCTAGCTAAATTCCTGTTATTGATGTTCAGGTTTTATATTTGTAATTTTATCTTTGTAATTTATTGCAGGTGGGGTTTTCAGCAGCAGATGCAGTAACAGGTCTAAAATTGGTGGAAGAGGGAGTACCTAAAGAACACTTAGCTTTATTGGCAGTTCCAATGGTACCTTTACAGATAATACTGCCTCTGATTATCAGCAGGTACACAGCAGGTCCGAAGCCACTGAACACATTTTACAAAGCTATGCCTTTCAGGTAAAAGATGCAATCTTTTTTATTTTGCATTATATAAATTGTGTTTGATTTTTTATGTTTAGTGTAAATACAATATTAATCTTAGTATTTAAATCTAAGGTACAAGGAAGTGGACAAATTAAGATGCTCAAAATACATTTTAGTTGCCTCATTTAATTTACAGGGCCTAATTTGGCTCTGGTATATCTGGAGAAAATAGCTTATGTTGGATCTGCATATCTGAGAGCAGATTTGTGCTGTTTGCCTTTTAGTGTTTTATAATGTATATTAGTCAATTGCCCATCAGGAATGGTGGGAGGGGAATGTGTGAGGACAGAGCCCTGTGCGCTCCCCCCATCCAGGCCTGCTCTCCCTTTACTTCCCACTGCTTGGTGTCTGAGCCTACGCCGCCCCCCTCCCAGAGCAGCAGGGGGAGGGAAGGAGGGGAAGGACCAGTCCCAAGGGTGGGGAGAAGCCGGCTCGCTGCGGCAGGGGGAGCAGTGGGCCTGGGCTGACCCCCGCAGGGGAATGGGAGGAGCATCCTCCGAGCCAATTGCAGGGGGAGGGGTGGGCCTGGGCCCTAGGGTGGGAGGAGGTCTGAGCCAGGGGAGAAGGCAGCCTGCCATGGCAGTGGAAAGAAAAAGCGGGCCTGGCCCGATTTCGGCAGCGGCTGGGGGAGGGGAGGGGCGAGCCTTTTCCTCCTCCCCCCCATTGGCTCTGAGCCCGCTTCTCCTGTTCCCCCACTGATGCCAAGTCAACCCAGGCCTGGTGCTCCCCCTGCCATGGCAGGCCAGCTTCTCCCTTGGCTCGGGCTCAGTCTTCCTCCCCCCATGCATGGGGTTAGGGCCCATTCTTCCCCTCCCCCGACCACCACCATCACTGCTGCGGTGTGCCCGCTTCTCCCCTCAACGCTGCCCTCTCGGGTCCTACAGGTGACAACGACGGGAGGGGCAGGCCAAGGCCGGTGGCCTCTTCTCGCCATCACCTGCAAGAAGTAAGGGGTTGGGGGCAGCTCTGGTGGCCTTGCCCCACCCTCTGCTCTATCCTTGCCACCTGGAGGGGGCAGGGGGGCGAGGCCAGTGTTGCTGGCCTTGCTGCCCTGTTTCATCCGCTCCGTTGCCCCTGCCTCCAGGCGCGCCCCACTTCCGTCCCGTGTCCCCACCGTTATTAACCGGCCACCAGCTCCTGTTGGAACACTTGTTTGTACTCTGATTTGCTGTTTGTCAGCCAATCAGAGTGTGAATAAAGCGTTATGGATGGACAGACAGACTTAGGTTTTTATAATATTAGAATGGGACAGTGTTCTTCCATTAATTTTTTTTACTCAATTTGAGAAGCCTTTTACTCTGCAGTTAGTCTTGCTGAAGTCAATCACTGTAAGTGCACAGCAATGCAGTTCTCAGTGCAAAGGTGTCTCTCGACCTACTCAGGCTAATATTCAATGTTTCATTGGGACTTTCGACTATGGAATGCTGTAGGGATACAGTACTAAACAGTCTGTGTAAGTAGGGACGTACCTAATTCCTGGAGGCTGCCTGTGTGTTTTGTGATCCCAACGCAGCATCAGGCACAATTATTGCAACAGAGCATGGCAGGCCTCCCCCCACACCTGACTGAGGGTCTACAGATGTCCCATCCCTCCCTAGACTGACAGGTGGCCATTTGTCAATCTCTGTGAGATGGGCATGTGTCAGTCTCCAGGGAAGGGTGGGAGGGCCCCTCACACCTGTGATTTTGCTGAAGGTCTCCAGAAGTCCCACTCCTCCTAATCTCTGGGGAGGGGTGGGACTTCCAGGGCCTTTCAGCCAATCTCCTCCCCTCTTTCCCCCCACCCCCATGCTCCAGGACTCCAAGGTTTCCTGCCCTTTTCTGTTTGCAGCTGCCTTTTCCCCCCCCTGCTGCCTCGCTGTTGCCTTCCTGCTTTTCCGTAGGGACCAGGATTTTTCACAGGGGACCTACCAAATTTGCAGTTTCTGCAAAAACTGCAAAATTGTGACTTGCAGGTCCCTACCTATAAGACTAATCTCAATATTGTCTCATTATACTATTCACTAATTCCATAAATAGTGTAATTGTAGTTTTCAGATGCACATTTAAATATTATTTTGATGTTTCTGTGCACTATTTGTGTAGTAAATTTGTATAGATTTTCCATTTGTGAAGACAATTTGAATAAATCATATTTTACTACAATTCTTCTAAAATTAGCTGTATTCTGTGTTCTCTTTCTTAGCCTAAAAATGTTCTGAAAATCATGGATATGTGAAAATGAAGCAGCTTATTATCAGAGGCTTGTTCCTCTTACCTTTTTATTGTTTGCTGCCAAACAAAGTTGGCTTTGGTATGAAATGTTTAAAATTTTAGCTACTTTTACAGAAGTATTTAAGTGAGTTAAAACAGTTTATCCATTTGACTGCTTTTTAGATATTAAGGCAGCTTAAACTTGAATAGGCAAAATAAAATATACATATGTTGTTAAATGTTTTAAAAGGTGTCTGTTGAATGTAAGGCTTATACAAATGTTCATCAGGATATGCAGATTCATGTCTGTGTGTTTTGAATTAAGAAATCCTGTCTCCTCCTCTTTGCAGGTTATTGCTTGGCTTGGAATTTGCTTTTCTAGTTTGGTGGACTCCTAAAGTGAAAAATGAAGGGGGATTTCCAACTTACTACTACATTGTGGTATTGCTGAGCTATGCTTTACATCAGGTATCAAGCATGCTGTCAAAATAGTCTATTTCTATCCCCATAAAAAATTTCCATTTTTATAGCTCTCCCTTTTGTTGATCTAAGACAGTGGTGCTCAGCTTTTTTGTCCCACGGACCAAAAAAGTCCATTTCCACACCAGATTTGGCTGGCGGTCCCAGTCTGGAGTCTGGAGTGGGCATGGCAGCCCCGATCTGGCCACATGGAGGGGGAAAGAGGGTGTGTGGCCCAGCCCTGATCCAGCCATGTGGAGGGGAAGGAGGAAGCATGGCCTGACTTTGGTCTGGCTGTAGAGAGGGACGAGGGGATGTGGCCACTATGCAGGGGTTTGGGTATTTGGCAGTGAGGAAGGTGACAGTATTAATGACCACCGTTCCTCTGCCACCAAATTTCCTGACCCATGGGCAGCCCTGCAGGCCACATTTGAAGTGGCCACACACCCTACTCTTCCCCACACACAGCCCATGCTCACCCTCCACACCCCACCCCACAATATACTGCAGTAAAAACTTATTTTGAGCTATTATGTAATTGCTTCTATATATGCTACTCAAAAAAAGAAAAATCAGAACAAAAATATTTTTGAAATAAAATTAAAATATGTTACATTAGCTGTTATACTAAAAATAGATTATTTGTTTTTTATCTGTAACTTGTTAAAATGATATCTTCTAAAAGATTTTGTGTGTGCAGCTTGACAGCTAGCTGAAACTCATTAAGTGGCCTCTGCCCCTCCATATAAAATAATTGCCCACCCCAATGTAGAGAACCATTGTTGCTAGAGTGAACTATTTTAGCATTTAGGAGCACAAGACTCTGGAAGAACAACTCAAGATAAATGTTGCTAGATTTCAAGTTACTTGTTTTACTTGATGGTGAGGGTGAAAACAGATTTAAAAGTAATTGAAAATATCTTACTGTTTGTTTCCCTTAGATTACATTGTACAGCATGTATGTTGCTATTATGGCTTTTAATGCCAAAGTTAGTGATCCACTGATTGGAGGAACATATATGACACTCCTCAATACTGTATCGAATCTAGGAGGAAACTGGCCTGCCACGGTAGCTCTTTGGCTTGTGGACCCACTTACAATGAAAGAGTGTGTAGGAGCCCAGGAACAGAACTGTAGAACTGCAATTGGTGCTGAAGTAAGTTTGAGAGTTATGATAATCTCCAGTCTATTGCTCATTGAAATGCAGTAATAGCTGACTTTTCTTAGTCTTCCACATTCCAGGATATTGATTAAAAACTGAGACCCATTATATATTAAAGTTCCCCTGATGAGCAGGGATCTGGGTTTTCCATTTCCCATGGAAAAACGGAGCCAAACATGGATTTCCCCCCTTACCAGAGTAAAATGCAGATTGGAGCTCAGAGCAGCAAGGAGATCCCTGCAGGGCTCTGCTGTTCCCTGCAGCGCCAGGTTGCACACGCTGGTCTGTGGAGGTCCCAGGGGAGGGTAGCAGGGTGGGAGCTGGAGCCTGCAGTGGGCAGTCTGCCCCCACTCCTACCCCACACATCTGTCTGATTTCATTATTAAATGCCACATATAAGCCTCTTCTATAAAACTACATCTGCAGGATATTTTTTCCTCTTTTTGTATTTGGGGATAGGGAAAAGGGAATGATTTTAAGTGACCACATTACTCATGAAAGGCACTATGTTAGCAGGAATAAAGGCTGTGGTTACCCCTCTCAAACTTGACAGGAGGAGAATCTTGCAGATTTAGTTTGTAATTTTAAGTGCTCTTTTATTTTCCTTTTTTCTACTCTGAGGATTTCTTATTTTCACTTTCCTTCTTTTTTGATTTTTTTTCTTGTTCTTTTTGACCTCCCACCCCCCTCTGCACCTTTTCTGTCTGAGCTATTGCTGCTTTTAAAGTAGATCAGTGAACCTGGCTATCCTCCCAGTGTCTCATGTGCTTATAGCATTTCTGGAAAAGAACAAATTGTACAACTACGCACATAATAAAACAATATGGCACAGGCACAACTGAAGGACTGCAGGGCTTCAGATTTGACTCCTTGTCATGGCTGGGATATTTACAGTTGTTTTCTTAAGACAGACCCATTGTTTCCTGATCCTTATGGTTCAAACATGTCCCTAGAATGCTTTTATGTATTGGGATGTGGAAGCAGTACCAATATACAAAGCACTCTAGGAATACAGGTATTAATTAATGGGTAAAAATGTTTTTTTTTTAATTTTATTTATTTATTTATTTTTTGCAGCTTTGTGCAAAAGAAGGTGGCTCTTGCATGACTACTCTAGATGGTTACTACGTAGAATCCATTATCTGCGTTGTTCTAGGATTTGGCTGGTGGTTCCTGCTTGGACCAAAGCTCAAAAAGCTGCAGGATGAAGGGCCATCTTCATGGAAATGCAAAAGGAATAATTGATGTAATTCAGCTATTGGATGGACTAGTAAAGTTGTTACAGCTCAATTTTATTTCAAAGACATACTATAATCAATAGGACTATAAATATATTTAAACATGCCAAATGGCTGAGAAACTAAGACAGCTAAGAAAGTGATGATATCACTTGCCTTCCCTTTATGAAAATCTAGTTAAGTTCTAAAAAGGTAGTTTGTAAAAAGGCAGCTTTATACTTCACCTTTATGTGCTCTAGCTTCAGAGTCCTGGCTGCTGGTAGAAGCAACACTTAAACTACAGTGCAGTAGCTATGGAAGAGCAAATTGTGCCACATCCATATTGAAAGCAGCATTGTCAGCTCTGATCTGACTTCTCATGTTGTTTTTAATAAGACGCCATCTGGCATGATCAACAGGTTGACTTGGTAGTACTGTCATTTAAAGGAGTCTCGATTTGATCTAAAATTTGAGTAAGTATTTAAAACTAAAACCTAACAAAATGGAAATTCATTTGAGGGAAGAGATACATGGAAGATCTTTATAATGTTTATCATTTGCTTTCCTGACCATAACAGCACATCAAAGGGTGTAATATTTTAAGATTATTTTAAATGCATTTCCTGGCTTTTTATAAGCTTTAAAGGTTTATAAAATATTGGGGGGGTTATTTGTTTTAAATAATTGATGAGGTGTTTTTTTTAATTTCTCTGTTTATTTCAAATATTTTGTTTTATTACTTGAAACAGTTTTTTGCAGAAAACTTGATATGAGGTGGGATCTTTGAGTTGTACAATAATCTAAGCCTTGAATGCTGAAGGATCAGATAGAGTAGTGTAGCAGTTGTTGAACTGATAGCAGGGCTTCAAAAAAGTGTGCATAATCCTTTCTGTGTTCAGTTTGCATCTGGGAGGGAGTGGAATAATTAGTAATATAGTTCTTTTGTTACATACATTTGATCATATTGATTAAAATGAGCCAGAAGTTGCAAACATTTATGTATTCCAAAGAGAGCAAAAGATGTTCAGTACCTTTGAAAGAAGAAGTGGATGGTGACGACATTTCATGTTGGTTCTGAGCATGTTAATATGCTGTGTTGTACCTTGTTTGCTACAGTTAGTTATTTTGCTACAACAGTTGCTACAGAAACTCATAAACTGGTTCTTTATCATTGAAAGGTGCTTGCTGTATTTATCATGAGATGAATTCACCTCTTGAGTGCCTTAGTGATGTACGGCATGCTGTATATCAGCTGAAAAGGCACTTGTATATTTTGGTTGGATGTATACTATACATCATTACTACTTTATGAAGATGCTTAAAAATAAAACCTTTAAAAGGTATGAAAAGTGAATATTGAATTCCTTATAATTCCACTTGCCTACAAAATATCAAGGGTATTCCACCTTAAGTTTTGTGCTCTAAATATTTTTAAAGGATACAGCGTTTTTGCTGAATTATTAACGTTAAATTATTGATTCTAATTGAATCTGGATTATATTACATGTAGATTTTTTTTTATAGTCTACGGAGTAAAAAGATTTGGGGAACAAGTTTTGGCAGAGAAACTTTGAGAGAACACATCAGTACCAAAGATTGCTCTTCTAGCTCTCCCCCACCTAAAAAAAAAAAAAAAAAAAAAA